CGAAGATTACTTATAATGATGCAGAATTACCAGCATCCTCTACCGTAGGGACGAAACAGAACACCAACTGGCGTCCCGCCAAGCCTAAATCCACACGCATGGACAAACAGCGACCGGAGAAAAATCGATCAACCCAAAGCCAGCACGTACAACCGCAACTTTAAACTTGCTGATCGATAAACTCAGTATTCGCTTCGACAATGGACAGTCGGCCTAGCTGTCCGAAACATCAGCAAATCTACAAATTTATTCCAGTGAGCAGAAGACGAACTCTTATTCTTATCTCGAAATTCTGACTTTTTCCAATTTAAGCCAGAAATTTCCATTACAGACCCCCTTGTCTTCGTCGTTAATGTAGTTCTGCCTTTGATATACTAGCCACCGAGCGGCTACTGGCAGAGCTCAAGAATGATCCTCAAGGCAGAACGGGACCAGTTAGTCCCGTGCCCGATGGGTTAGCCTCTACCCACTGATGTCACCCCAATCACGCTAAACTAGTGCTTGAACTAGGCCGTGAAAACCTCGCTTTGAATGGGTCTTTGCTCCTTGGCCAGTACTGATCCGCAATGATCGCGCCTATGAAATGGGATGCCTACTCTGTACAATGCGTTGTGATTTAGAAGGTTTATTCCAGCATCCATGTAGTTAATTGATGAACGCAGCACTACTGATTGCATCAGGATAAAGACAATATGCATGATAACAAAAGTACGTGAAGAGCTGAAGAGGCTCACCCTGGTATTAAAACAGAGCTGCTCACAGGGTTTTTTCTCCTTGCAGGCGTCCCGTTCGCTCGGGCGCACGACGTCGCCGAATTCGGACTCGCTTTGTTTGAGACAGGAGGCACCATCCGACTGCAGTACGTAGCCGGGGCGACAGGAACACCGGAAAGAGCCAAATGTGTTGGTGCATATCTGCTGGCATAGACCACGTCCCTCCTTTTCCAGACACTCATTGATATCCTCTTCACAGCTGCTACCTCTGAAGCCGGGTTTACATCGGCAGATTGGTGTTCCTCCCGCGCCAGTGACGCAATCGCCGTGAATGCAGTTCTGCCCGGGCACACAACCCTTGATGCACTTACTCGCGTCACCCTGTGCGGCTGGAACATAACCCTTCCAACAGGCGCACTCGTAATTGCCCT